TTGGCTTACAGTCCGGGCTTTGTTTGAGGAGAGTATAGACGAGTGAAACGCACTGAAGAGTCTTTCCCAAACCCATCTCATCAGCCATAATACAGCCATAACTGCCCTCAATGTGCACTCCTGTCACGCAATCCCACATGAATTTCACGCCTTCTCTCTGATGCGGCCGAAGAACATTCGTCAGAATGGGATCCATAACCACGTGAACCTTCTGGTCGTTTGGCTTCACTTTCAGCGCCTCATCTTTGGTCATCACTGGAGGAGTCCATAGTATGAGCGCATTGTCTGCTTCCGGATCGTGTAGTGGACGCCGACCTCCGCTCAGACGTACTCCCAGTGATCGATAGGAACCGCCTGTCAGTCATGACATGAAAACACGTTTGAAAGACAAATCCATTGCAAGTCTTGGGCGACAAACCTTTATATCCTTTGATGGGTATAACAAAGGGTTTGCTTAATATCTTGCGGATGTATTCCTCGTGAGCCACCTTCTGGTCGATAGTCTGGTGTCCGAAGTGTTGACCGAAAGTGATATTAACACTCACTTTCTTCAATGGCCTCAACGGTCGCCTCAATGGTGTGACAAACCGTTTGCCAGATGCCGACGACTCGTCATTTGGGTCTGACTTTCGTTTGTTGCGTTGAGTCGGACAAAGACTTCTCTGCATATTGTCTGTGATTGTCAACGGATCCCACAATTGATCACAAAGTGATGCTTTCCTGTCATTTAGAGCCAAAACATTCAAACACTGAATGTGTGAATGAGTGCACAGATGGCACCACTGCTATAGCGTGTGATGTAATACTGTAGGCTTTCAATGAATTCAATGCATTCACTGCAGTGAATGTAAATTTAGTCAAAAGTTTTGGTCTAAAACTTTTTAAAAAATGAATTTATTTTTTCTACCAGAACCTTTTTTATAGTCAAAAATTATCAAATTGAATGAATGAATGCATTTCTTTAGTAAAAATGAATGACAAGCAGGGTATTTTAATTTGAAAAATGATTTTTATTGTCTTTTATATTGTCTTACAATTCAGTAAAGCATTCAAACAAATAATTTTTGTATAAAAATGTATTTAAAAAAGGCGTTAAAAACTAATTTTATTAAATACTATTGAAGTTTATTACAAATGCACTCATTTTAAAAGTGCTAACAATTCACATATAAATATAATTATAAGGAAATTATACGTCAGTAAGCATTGTGTGAAATATAAGCCAGGTCATCTACTTATAGCTGCCAATGGGTTCGTATCCATATTCTTCAGTAGTTGACGATTCAGTGGATGTA